GACGTCCCTCCCATCCCATAGACAAGGAATGCATAGCCGCAGAACCCAGGATCGTGGTTCTGGAACAAGCAAAACAGGTGACACTTTAGCTGGGGAGTGCCCCGCCTGTGGAAAAGTAAGCTGTCCACATCAGGATGAAAAGACCACTTGTGTCTGTAGAAAAGCCTGCTGATATGGCCCACCAGCTCATTCTGGACTCCAGGAACATAAGATTCCAGCAGGTACACTAAATGTTCTACTCAGAAGTCCCTCAGCAGAAGGGCTTATCTGCACAGTGGAGAGAAACAAGCCCCTTCCTGTTTGTTGATGTAGAACTTGAAATATTTCCTGTCAGGTGAAGTGATGACTTTATGAATATATGCATCCTTTAGGTCAAGAGTAGCATACCAGTCAACTGGATCCAGAGATGGGATAATAGAGGCAAGGGAGACTGAGACAGGGTGCACCAACTCTATAGTGGAAAAGCTAGGCCTAACAAGGCTCACCAGGCTAAAGAAGTCTCCACCCCCGCAACTATGCTGAGCATGCTCAGACTGCAGCCCAGGTATAAAGGCCTAGAGAGAAGCTCAGTCTGAGCTGGCTGCTGAGGAGGAAGGAAGCATGGCCAGAGCTCCTGCAGGAGAATCACCAGAGGGACTGGACCTGGAGACCAGCCAGTGAGACACCAGCACCGCGGCAAAGGATTTGGAGGAAGAACCCTGGAAGGAGGTCATCAGAGAATGGTAGGAAGTGGTCCAGAGGAGGAGATTGTTTCCCATAGTGCTCAGCATGTTGCAGTGGGATTCCCCGCTGAGCGAGCAGTGGACTGAACCACTGCTAATAGGGCCCTGGGCTGGGACCCAGTGGAGTAGGGAAGGCCCTGGTCCCCCTACCACTGCTTTAGTCGTGTGGGACCAGCACTCACTTATTTAATCCAACTATAAGGCCACATTACCCCAGCAAGAGGGGTGTTTATTACTGACTCTGGCTACTAGGCCGCACTGCCCCAGCGAGTGAGGGGTTGATTACTGAACTTCAGCAGTTAGGCCGTATGGCCTCAATGAGAGGGCCATGTGTCTAGAACAGGAGAGGAATTGCAGAATTTGCAGGGTGGGAGCATGATTCCAAGAGCCCTAAGGACTTAGAATCATAGAGCTAGAAGAGACCTCAGGAGGTCATCAAATCCAGCCCCCTGCCCTAGTCAGGACCAATCCCAACTAAATCAACCCAGCCAGGGCTTTGTCAAGCCGAGACTTAAAAATCTTTAGGGATGGAGACTCCACTACTTCCCTAGGTAACCCATTCCAGTGCTTCACCACTCTCATAGTGAAATAGTTTTTCCTAATATCCAACCTGGACCTCTCCCACCTCAACTTGAGACCATTGCTCCTTTTTCCTCCATCCATCACTACTGAGAACAGCCTCTCTCCATCTTCTTTGGAACCTCCCTTCAGGAAGTTGAAGGCTGCTATCAAATCCCCCCTCACTCTTCTGCAGACTAAACAGACCCAACCCCCTCACCCTCTCCTCGTAGGACATATGCTCCAGCCCCCTAATCATTTTGGTTGCTCTCCGCTGAACCCTCTCCAATACATCCACAACCTTTTTGTAGTGGGCCCAGAACTGGACACAATACTCCAGATGTGGCCTCACAAGAGCCAAGTAAAGGGGAATAATCACATCTCTGGATCTGGTGGCAGTGCTCCTTCTAATGCAATCTAATATGCCATTAGCCTTCTTGGCTACAAGGGCACAGTGTTGACTCATATCCAGTTCTCATCCACTGTAATCCCAACGTCCTTTCCTGCAGAACTACCACTTAGCTGCTTGGTCCCCAGCCTCTAACAATGCTTGGGATTCTTCCGTCCCAAGTGTAGGATTCTACACTTGTCCTTGTTGAACCTCATCAGATTTCTTGTGGCCCAATCCTCCAATTTGTCTGAGTCACTCTGGACCCTATTTCTGCCCTCGAGTGTATCTACCTCTCCCCCTAGCTTAGTGTCATCTGCAAACTTGCTGAGGGTGCAATCCATCCCCTCATCCAGGTCTTCAATAAAGATATTGAATAAAACCGGTCCTAGAACCGAACCTTGGGGCACTCCACTAGAAACCAACTGCCATCTTGACATCGAGCCGTTGATCACTACCAACTGGGCTCGACCTTCTAGCCATCTTTCTATCCATCTTACCGTCCATTTATCCAATCCACATTCCCTTAACTTGCTGGCAAGAATATTGTGGGAGACTGTATCAAAAGCCTTGCTAAAGTCAAGGTATATCACATCCACTGACTTTCCCATGTCTACAGAGCCAGTTACCTCATCATAGAAGCTAATCAGATTGGTCAGGCACAACTTGCTCTTTGCGAATCCATGCTGACTATTCTTGATCACTTTCCCCTCTTCCAAGTGCCTCAAAATGGATTCCTTAAGGATCTCTTACCTTGATTCCTGGAAAAATCAAGGAAAACTGACCGGCCTATAGTTCCCTGGATTGTCCTTCTTCACTTTTCTGAAGATGGGCACTACATTTGCCTTTTTCCAATCATCTGGGATTTCTCCTGATCTCCACAACTTTTCAAAGATAATGGCCAAAGGCTCCTCAATGACATTTGCCAATTCCCTCAGTACCCTCGGATGCATTAAGTCCGGATCCATGGATTTGTGTACGTTTAGCTTTTCTAAATAGTTCCTAACCTGTTCTTTACCCACCAAGGGCTGTCCATCTTCATCCCATCTTGTGTCACTTCGCACATTAGTCCAGT